AACAACAACACAGCAATTGTATTTCATTTAGTCAACATTGTTTTCCTAACGACATTTGGTCCGGGTTTTTTCTCCTCCTTTACATAAAAATATCGCCATCCATGTACCTAGGAGGGAGTCAAGAGAAAGAAAGCAACAAAGTCTTTTTTGCTAATGTCTAGTCGTCATCATGTGGCCCTTTGCCCTCCCCCTCTACTCTTGCCCTGCATATTCATCATTCTACCATCACCTCGAGCAAGAAAGCAAGAATTTGTTGTGTGTGGGATGTCTATGCTAATTTATTGTTGTATTTATACAAAAAAAACAGAGAGTGAATTACTCTGAACTGGCTGGCTGCCGGTTAGGTTGGTTGGCTGACTGGCTGGCTGGTTGCTGCTCATAAAATAATTCACCGAAAAACTTGTGTGAATACCAAAAAAAAAAAAAACTCGCACACGAAACAAATGTCTTATTTTATTGCCCACGACGGATGGACAGACGGTCGGTGGGACCAGCCAAATTTCCCAGTTACAAGAAAAAGTTTCATTTTGCAACAGATAATAATATTCGTCGTCTCCCACCTCCAAGGTTCTGTTTAGGTACAAATTTGATGGAAACTTAAAAAAAAAGAGAGCAGCAATTTAGTGCGGCTGTAACAAATAAACTTTGAAGAAAGTCAAAACTGGAACAATTATTTGAAATTTAATAATTATAATCGGCTTTGAAATTATTTTGGTGGTGGTGGTTATTAAACCCAGAGACAAATTTTTGTGTGACCACCACACTACGAAAAAAATAATTAGGTTATAGAGAGGATTATGATATTTCAAATTTTAGGAGGTTTTAAAATTAAAGAACCAAATATATTTGGTTTGGATATTTGACAGCCAATGGCAATTCGAAATACCCAATTTTAAGAAATTCTGATGAAAAAATTCCCCAAGAAAATACCAAATAATGGGGGTACCGTTAACCTCAAAACTGCACCGATATCGATAATTTTTGGTAGGGTGATTAGATATCCAATGGGAACTCAAAATACCAAATTTCAGCACATTCGGTATAAAATCGTGTCCAAACTCTCCCAAAATGCCAAATAAAGACCTGTACCTGTGAAGACTATCCTCAAAAGTGGACCGATATCGATCATTTTTGGTAGGGATTTAATACCCAATGGAAATTCAAAGTACCAAATTACAGCCATTTAGGTTAAAAAACGTGTCAAAATTCCCAAAATACCAAATATTTTGGAGTACCGTTATAGGGGGTCTATCCTAAAAAGTAGTTCGATATTGATAATTATTGGTAGGGAGAATTGCTACCCTATGGGAACTCAAATTACCAAATTACAGCCAAATCGGTTGTAAAACCACAAAAATACCGAATATTAGGGGCTGCCATTATATGGGGGTTACCAACAAAAGTGGAGAATTGGTAGGGAGAATTGCTACCCAATGGGGACTCAAAGTACAAAATAACAGCCAAGTCGGTTTACAAACGTGATAAAAATCACCAAAATGTCGAATATTTTTGGGTACCGCTATATGGAGGCTATCATCAAAAGTGCGTTGATTTCGATAATTTTTGGTAGGGAGAAATGCTACCCAAGAAGATCTCAAAATACCGAATTACAGGCAATTCGGTAGACAAAAATGCAAAAAATCCCCAAAATACCGAATATTGGGGGCTACCGCTATATGGGACTTATCCTCAAAAATGCGTCGATATCGAGAACTCAAAATACCAAAAAGCAGCCAAATCGATTGAAAAACGTACAAAAAATCCCTAAAATACCGAATATTGGGGGCTATCCTCCGATACCGATAATTTTTGGTAGGTAGAATTGTTACCCATCAAGAACGCAAAATGCCAAATTACACGCAATTCGATTGAAAAAGTGCCAAAAATCCGCAAAATATCGAAAAATATGGGCTACTGTTATCTGTGATATCCTCAAAAGTGGATCCACAACGATAATTTTTGGCAAGGAGAATCGCTACCAGCCAATTCGGAACCGAATATATGGATAAATGAAGCAGGGGACCGATTATAAACCAAATATTTCCAATATAGTGTTGTTTTAATTCCGAAATTCACTCAGCCCAATTCAGATACCCCACCTGTGGAGTATTAAATGATTAAATCTGTTTTTGGGAAGCATAGCTGAATGCTATTTGAATACATACACAGGTTGCGGATAGTGGGAAGTCCAGTCGATATATTAGGTAGCTGCGAATTAAATACGAAGTCGCGGAAAGTCAGCGGGTCTCGAAGGAAATGAACAAGTGCCGAAGAGTCTTGGAGTGACAAGGCGACCTGACGAAAAACCTGTACTCGCGGACTCTTCATCCAGTGTATAAGGTACAATACCATGCTCCTTGCAAAGGACCTCAATCGTGGGTAGTGACAACGTCAACACCGCCACACATAACAACAGATTGAAGAACTCCTCAACCTAAATTAGGAATACGTCAATTTCCGCTTGAGCCAGGAAAACATTTCGGAAGAGTTATGGGATGACACCCCCATGACAGAGGAGGATACTGACTATACAGTCAGTGTCTTACCACCGAAACAGAAGGGCTCATCAGTTATGAAACAAAACAATTTTGACCTCTCTGTGGTTGAAGCTCCCGTTTCTGTGGAAACTCCGAAGAAACTCAGTGGGGTTACCACTACCGACAACGATGTCAAAAGTGAAAAAGCAATAGAGACCCTGAGAGAGGAACTACCCTTCGAAGGGGAGCTCCAGATTGTAAGGAGTCTACTTTGACTAACCCCGTTAAGCCCAAAGAAAAAGCTGCGACTACCGGGACAGAAGGAAGAAAAAGCTGTCACAGCAACAACCGAAACATCAGTGGAAACAAAGGCTTCCTCAAAGCATTTGACAATGAGGTGTATGTGGTCGACGGAGGAACAGCGGAACGTGCTGCAAAGAAACCGTCTGTCTCATATGCTTCGGTAACTGCAGGAAGGATGGTGGGAAATTTTCCGCTGGATAGACGAAGGTCGTACTAAGTACCAAGTTTTTGAGGAACCTTAGAAGCAAACAGAAAGATGGATCGAGACGGCAACTTGCTGGCAAATGGTCCCAATGTAACCAAATAGCAGTCATAATCGATACAAATAATCCCGATCAGTTGTTGTACCAGTTGCTCTTCTGCTGCTTCGTGTGGGATTGTTCTACGAGGATTGTATTCACTCTGTATTTTTGAATACAATTAAATTTTTCTTAATAGGTTTCTTGATCTAGAGGCTCCTTTTTGTACCTCTGGATCCCTACTTCCTTCCTGACCAGCCTATCCTTCCTGGTGGTTATGGTTTGGAGAAAATCTTATTCTGTTGAACCAAAGGGAGGATCTTCGTCTCCTCATGTAAGTGGTTTATTCGAGTCATAAGGAGACACCCTGTTGCTTTGAATATTTTACCATTTTATCGTTGGCGGACCACATTGGAACCGCATTGTTTACCACAGACTGGTCTATTGATTATATGTTGTTAACAAGATTTCGGATCAGTGCAAGTCATTGGTTGCTATTCCATGTGCAACTGAAGATCTTTTAAAACTAAAGGATGGCGTTGACCATCAAATGTTGCATTTCGGCAGGATTATCCTTTGTAAAGGTGTCGAAATCATAATCAGTGGAAATATGAAGTCTGTCGATTACCTTATTAAGACAGTGAATGACTTTGAATACCCTTGGGAGGTAGTAATCTTGCAAATGTTCACGATGAGATCCCGTGAGGCTTGGTAACCTAAGAATGGTTACCACCTGCTCTTTTCGCATTGGAACATATGCTAAGGATTGTCGTTAAAACTCAATCGTTAATCGTCGTTTTTTAAGTCATTTCAATAGAAGATTTTACTTCTCAACGAAGCAGCATAATAATTGTTTTTAACCACAAATAAGGCTTTAAACATTCTCCTTGTAAACTAAACTCTTAACGCTTATTTTCTGCACACGTAACAAACACAATCAGTTTCAACAAAATTTAAAATTAAATTAGTAAGAAATTCACAATGCATTCCACCAATTATAATCTCTGTGCATTCTCTGTTCTCCTCCGCACACTGAACATACACAATAATTTTCCTTTCATTTTTTTTTCTTCAATACACCTGTGTATGGATATCAAAGATCATTGGTAGACGATGTCAATGATAACAATAACAACAAAAATAATAAAAAAAAACAACAACAAATAAATGTTGAAAGAGTTATTTAATTTTCTAGACAAAGAAATGAGTTGATGGCTGCAAATAATAAATTTCTGTCGACATTTTTAATGTAAACAACAAAAAACTTGGGGAGAGAGATAAGGGGAGTGTGAGTGGCATGTAATTGAAGAAATGAGATTGAAGGCTCATCTCAATTGCATGCACTCACTGCTCTCCTTAACAATCAAACACCAGCAGGCAGTCAGACAACAACAACAAAAAAGTACACAAATAAACACACTCGTCTTCGCACACACACACTTGTTATTTTGAGGAGCAAAAAAAGGGGGTCGTTGAGAAAATGCACAAATAAACAGAGAGGAAAAAACAGAAGAAAAAAGCGGGCAAATGGGCTGGGCGGCATTGAACAAACAAAAAGGACATGTCATGAAAATAATGATAGCGCAATATTGTTGACAATGATGATGATGATAATGATGATTGCTTTAAGATAATAGTGTATGTATGGTTGTTGTTGTTGCTGCAAATTAAAATTTATGTCTCTCCTTACAACAAATGAAAACAAAATGAAGCATGTAAACAAAGAGCATGAACTTCACAGGAAAGCAGTAAAAAATATACGTCAAAAAAAACGAAAGAAATACATAAAAATAAACAACAAAAACAAACAACTGCAAAAAGAAATCTTCATGGGCTTGTATTGTTGTTCTCCATGGTAAGACTCCCAAAACTGTGGACAGACAAACAGGCATACGCAGGCAAATGTCAAGTAAGGCAGGCAGGCAAAAGACAACGCCACAAAAGGACGGCCGTAAGTGTAGAGCGTGCGGTTCGGGCCTACCTTTCCTTGAAATAGTCCAATGTTACCGATTCTGAATCAAATTCCGAATAATCTGGTAGCGAATCATCATCGAATGAACTCATGCCACCAATAATATTGGCATTGTTGCTAAGATTCAGATTGACACGGCTGCCATTGCTCAACAAGGATTGTTGTTGTTGCAAGCCATTTGGATGTTGTTGCTGTTGTTGTTGTTGCTGCTGATGTAAAAGTTGAGCTACCAAAAGATGCTGTTGTGGCTGTAGCGACGACGAATTGTTGCTAAGCTGAGAAATGGATTTTTCGTAAACTTTAGCCATTGTTTGTTGTGCTGTATACTCGTCGTGGTCGACGTCGTTCTCCTCGTTGGTGCTGTTGTTGTTGTTTTATTTTGTTCCTTGTTTGCAATCCTTCGTGGTTTCTCTCGTCTTTAATTTGTATTACTTTTTTCACCACACACACACAGACACACAGAAAAAAATCACATCAATTTCTGCTCTTGCACTAAAAAATATTTCTAAACAGGGGCGAAAGAAAAATAAAATAACAGAGCACACCACCAAATATATATTTTCATTCATTCATTATTATTTTACTTAATATTTCTTATTTTCTTTCGTGTGATATTAAAAATAGAAGACTGAAATATTTTGCAATTTTTCTCGTTTGGCCACAAAACTCTCACACACACGCACGTACTCACATAAACACTCGCTCACTCGTTCGTACACACCACAAATGCGCATATATACAAAACTCAAAACTGTGGCACGCACAATTATTATTTTTTGCTCTTCTTCTAATATAAACTTTTCTTTTTCGTTTCGTTTTTTTTTGCTAACTTTGCTTTATGTTGCTGTTGTTGTTGTTATTTCTTTCTTCTCTTCTTCTTTTTTGGCCAAAATGGCGTCAACTTGTTCTAATTATTTTTAATATATTTTTCTATTCAAATTTCCTCGTTTCACTTTTCTTCATTAAAACTTTCGCTTCAAAGGCATATTTTTGTTATTAATTTATTTGGTAGGTATTCCTTCTCCACACTATCGTCTCGTTGTCGTTCTTCGTTTTCTTACATTGCAGCAGCTTCACCACTCACGAGAGAAATTTAACGGAAATTATCGGAAAACGAAAAAAATGATGAAAAATTATAAACTGTGTTGTGGAAAAAGCGAACAACAAATTCACACATTCAATTTTCCCGTCCGTTTCGTATCTGTGTTGTCTCTCTTTTTCTGTTTCGTGTAACACTAAAGAAATTCAAGAAAATTTTTTACGACACTGGGAAAATATGGCAATAATCGTTTTTTTTTCGATAAATCAAAGTTGATGTAATAGAAATATCGAGATGATTAGGGTTCTGTAGTGTAGTATTTAAAGGCGAAACGGTAGATGGAGACGAAACGATTAATGTTGTGTTTATATAAATTATACGTCATTTAAATTGATTTTTTCAATTGAAAGATATTGCAATTAATAAAACAAGTAAAATGATCTGTTTTTACTACGATAAAAGTTTTTTTTCTTTATGATATCAAAAACATAATAAAAATTAGGAGATTCTTGCAGTAAGGGAAGCAGACCAAAAAGGTTGTTGAGTTGGACATTTAAAATACCTATAATCGTTCGGGACCTTGACGGTCTATGCCATGGTTAATTGTTGGTAGGAAGAAAATTAGTGGCAATTCGGATAAAAAACATGTCCAAAATTTCCAAAACACGATATAATAATACAGCTATATGGAACTATCCTAAAAAGTAGACCGATATCAATAAATTTTTTTAATAGGAAAAATTGCTACCTATTGGTCTGTTCCCGTACTGCAAGAATCTACTCGATTTTACTATTTTCTTCGATATCATAAATGAAAATTTGTTATCGCAGTAAAAAGTAGAAGATTCTTGCAGTACGGGAGCAGACCATATGTTAAGGCTAGATTATCAATTTCATATCTTACAAACTGTTTATGTATTCTGTCAATCAGCGATGGACGTCTACAGAGGTTATGTTCAATTGTTTCTAGCTGTTCTTTGTCCTCACATAGACGACAGTAATCCTCTCCGCTGGAGTCCCATTTCGAAGTGAGAGATCTAATCTTTCAGTGACCTGTTATGATGCCCACAATGATTTTGATCTCTCTCTTATTATGTGCCAACAGCGAAGAAGTTCTTCGGCGAGAGAATTCAGGCCAGATAGCTTTTGAGATTCTGCAACCAGGTTCTCTCGATTATCTGTTACCGACTACCTCGCCGTAGAACAAACGGATGTTGCCAATGAAATAGACAATGGGTGGTTGCACAGATCTCTCAATCGGAAGATTGGACAATTTTGAGCCCCTTCGAGCAAGATCGTGGGCTATCTCGTTCCCTTCTATGTTACTATTACTTTTAGCGCTCCGGTAGTCAGGACCGAAGCCAATCGCAGATCGAAATTGCTACCTTATGGGAGCTCAAAGAACCAAACAACAGACAATTCGGTTAAAAACCTAACACAATGTTTCCGAAATACTGAATATTAAGTGCTGCCACTTTATGCAGACTATCCTCAAAAGTGGGCCGATATAAATAGTTTTTGGTAGGGAGATTAGCAACCCAATGCAAACTCAAAGTACCAAAGAGCCAATGCGGTTAAGAAATATCAGCCATTTCGGTTTAAAAATTTGTCCAAACTTCCCAAAATACCGAATAATGGGAGGTACCATTTTATGAGGGCTACCTTAAAAGGTGAATAAATATTGATAATTTTTTGTTGAAAGGTCTGCTTCCCGATGAGAAATCAAAGTACCAAAAAACGTGCCAAAAATTTCCAAAATATCGATTATTTTGGGGTACCGCTATATGGGAGCTATCCAAAAAGGAAAACGATATTAATAATTTTTAGTATGGAGATTTGCTACCCAATGGAAACTCAAATTATCAAATTACAAGTAATTCAGTTGTAAGACGTACCGAAAATCCCCAAAAATACCGAATAATGATGGAAACGTTATATGGGGTCTATCATAAAAAGTGGACCGATATCGGTAGTTTTCACCAATGGGAACTCAAAGTAACAAATTACAACTAATGGTGTTTTTACACGATATGCATTTTACATACGTGCTGTCACTTATTTCATCCATATGTAATTCCTTATGTGTGTCAAAATTAGCAGTGTACACAAAACATTTATTTTTGTGTTCAAATCGGCATATGTATTTTACATATGACATAACCTATAAACAAAAAAACACTTTTATTTTTTCTTAAATCAACATCATTTTTTATTAAGCACCTACAAACGAAATAATAACTTGTAATTGTTGCCTTTTCATCCTTTTCTTTGAATTGCAATTGAAATATTTTCTTCCAACAATGTGTTTCATTCAAACAGCTGATTTTCTTATGTTTCACATACGAAAATAGAGCGCGTCCTATTCGGAAAAAAATACATATGTAATTGCATATCGTTTTGACACATTGAAATTTCCGTATGTTTCACATGACGAGTTCGATTTCCATATGTAAAAAAGTGACAGCACATATGTGAAATACATATCGTGTAGAAACACCATAATTTGGCTGAAAAATGTGTCTAAAATACAGAATATTGGGGGCTAATGTTATATGGGGACTATCCTCAAAAGTGGACCGATATCAATAATTTTTATGCGTGCAAATTATTTCTATTTTGATTTAACCGAATGATAACGTAAATCAGAATTACCGATTTCATTTGTTTTATCAATTTATTTGACATATATGGTATGGAATTGACAATTTAAGCACAATGTAAATGTACTATAAGATCCATATTCTTATGTTATCAACTCACGATGAATAGCGCAGGACCTGACAATATATGTATTTAAACGATTCCTTTTAAAATAACCCTAAAAAGGCTAATATGTAGTAGTTTGTTGTATCGCCGTAATACTTTAGTGTTATGTACGTTTTGCTATCAATCCTTAGTGAATACTATAATTGATTTAAAGAAGAAACATTAATCTTGCATTAATTCTTTTCAATTTCAATTCGTTATCAAAACACGATGAATAGCAACGAAATCAAAGGAAAATTTATTTCATCCATCTGTACCATTAATTTTTAAGACCTGGCAATATTTCTCTAAAAAGTTTTATACAAAATAACGCTAAAATTAATTTAAAAAAAACATATGTTTAGCAATTTAATGTATCGCCATACTACTCTAGTCGTAATGTTATCAATTCCCAGTGAGTACTTTAACCGATTTAAAGAAGAAGAAACGTTAATCTTGCATTCTTTCATTTGCAACCAAATTCATAATTATTCTTGTTACTTTTTGACACCTTATTCGTAAATAAAAATTCCATAGTAATGGCAACCCTGCCCCTTTGAAAAACTGCGAAAGAATCACAAAAAATCTAAACAATCAACAAAATATTGCAAATTGTGAAATAATAAACAACGATATCGAAGTCTACCTAGCTAATTGTGTTAATTATTTAATTCTTGTCATATGGAAATTGTAAGAATTTGACTGTGAGTGAGTGACGAGAATCCATCCCATCCATCCATGGCTGCTGCACAAACGCCAAGAGATTTAATCACCACAAAAACAACAACAGTAACAGCTGCAACAATAACAACAAATGCGGCGATACCATCATCAACATTGTCCTTATTGACACCGGGAAATGGTAGTGTTGGTGGGACAATAGAATGTCCAAATTGTGATAAGAAATTGCTGCCCCATGAAGTGGCTGGTCATGTCAATGAAGAAATGCAACGTCTCAAACAAACGCCAATAACAACAACAACGGCGATAGCAATGCGTAGTACTGCCTCGGATGAGCTATTGGATCCTCATGAGGACACAACAACATCATCGTCAAATGATGCCGGAACCACATCATCATCTTCGACAACAGCAACAGCCAATGAAAAACCTAAACCCTGGTCAGTATTTCAAAGGGTACAACGGAACCGCCAGTCACGCATGAAGGTGAGTAGAAGAACAATCTCTTTTTGTATGGCTTCATTTGTAGAGGATGTTATTAAATGCAAGTTTTGCTATTTTCTCTTCTTGTTGTTGTTTCTTTTATTTAGCGTAACCGCAAACGTCCTGTCCTACCCGAACATCCATGCCCTGTGTGTAATGTAAATTTCCCCCAAGATGAAATCCAACAACATGCCGAAGAGTGTTTGCGTCGCAGTAATCGCACCGCAAATGGACGCAGCAACAGTGCCGATGATCATTCCAGTAACGATGATGAGCCTGGCGAGGAATACGAAGAATATGAATGGGCCGGACAGAAACGTATACGTGTCTCAAGTTTACTACAAGGTGGCTATGCTGCCATAGGCATTGGCCAAATCATTACCAATGGTAGTGGTAGC